AGTCAACATGGGATGGGGCGTCGAAGTCATAGACCCCAGAAGCATCCACAGAGTCATTGTCGGCCATTATAACGAATCAGCTTCAACAGCTAGTCTAAAACAAATGCAAAAAATTTCAATCCTTTTCGATATGCCCAATATTGAAAATGAAATCGGTATAACTTGGTCAATAACAAAAGTGGTTCTAAACGCCTTAACCTCCCCCTTCGGTTACCAAAGGAAAAGTAGAAGACATTCAAAAACGACAAAAATGCAACTCAAATTACCGCCTAAAGCTAACTCCACCGTTCAAGTAACGCATAGCTGGGCTAGAATATCCTTAAAAATAGCAAATCTGTGGAACAGAATGTACCTATTGCCGAACCTGAACACACCGCGCTCCTCCGCTGACCCACAGTGTTGATTTGTTCCCCAATAACTAAAAGCACAGCGACCGTTGTAGGGCTCAACGTTAACGTTTAAAAAGACTGCTCTACTTTGAACCGGCCAATGGCTGCCCGCGTAGCCATCAACTCGACACTTATTTGCTAATACAAACACGTGATACGTAGCGTAGCGTTTGATGGGTCTGCCCATAGACGACAATAATAATAATAGAGCCCGAGGAATCTTTTATAGAAATCGGTTTGATAAGAGAATATTACTTGTAATCCAATTATTAAATCCAAATGGCCATTTATTTTCTTATTCTGACTCTATGTTACTTTTCCAATTTCCTGTTACCCCTAAAGAATATGCTGTTGTGTTTGACGCAATCCGTCATCAAAGCTTTTATCATCTTTCCCTACACATCAAATTCACTCAATTGTGTAAAATGTATTTAACATTTTTTAAAATATAAATTGGAAGTGGACTTGGTTGCTCCTTAAAAATACTTAATAAACAACAAAATAAGAGAAATTTCTTATAAAATTATTCATAATGTTTATCCTGTTAATGCATTTTTGATAAAGAGATATAAATGGGATTTGGACCCAATGTGTACTTTTTGTAAAAATAATGAAGAAAAGCTTATTCATCTTTTTTGGGATTGTAATTGTTAATGGGATTGTAGCTTTGCCTCGTCTGTTCCTGTTTGGCTGTGACGTCATCCTGGAAAAAAACATCAGCTGTGCTGCTTCTATCAACACCCTTGTTAATAGATGTTGGAGATCGGCCTGTTTTCCAGTGTGGTCCTGTTTCTCTGACCGTGACTGAGTGGATGTGCTCTCTTCGTCCTCTGGCATGGGAGCTGCCTTGGAGCTCGTCTGCCTGGCTGTGTGTTTCCTGGACGGGGCCGCCTTTTACAGCTGCTTTTTGTATCTCTGCTTCTGTCTCCTTGAACCCCAGTCGGCCTCGGCAGATGGCCGCTCACACTGAGCCTGGTTCTGCTGGAGGTTTCTTCCTGTTAAAAGGGAGTTTTTCCTCTCCACTGTCGCTACAAGCATGCTTAGTGTGGGGGATTGTATTTGAGTCAATGAGTCAATGCAATCAACTGGTTTTCCTTAGATAGAAAACTTTGTATCAATTTGACTGTATGATCTGGTTGAACTGTAAAGTGCCTTGAGATGACATGTGTTGTGAATTTGGCGCTATATAAATAAACTGAATTGAATTGAATTGAATTAATTATACAAAAATATTTTGGAGAGATATGTCACTTTTTTTTCATCAAAGAAATCTCCATATTACTTTAACAGATAAGGATGTTTTGTTTGGGATGGAGAAATGTGAACATGTAAAAACATAATTCTTATATGTTGTTAATTTTTTTTTTATTATTTATGGTAAATATCTTATACACACCTCCAAATATTTACAACAAAAACCTAATTTCCAGATTTTATTATCTTCTATTAATATCTATATAGAATCCTTAGAATTCAGTTCAAATGCTAAAGCCATTAAAATCATAACTGCCCTTAAAGATTTGCAACCCTCGAGCACAGATTTGATTTTGACATTGTAAAATTGCTCTGTTTTATAAAGCACTTTGATGTTGTATCTGTTTGTAATTAATAATGTTCTATAGTGTTCTTGTATGTTCTTTTCTTTGCAATAAAAAAAAAAACAAAATAAAAAAATAATAGAGCCCGAGGCACAGACCGGCACACAAGGCCAAACAGAATATAGATATTTTCAATATTTAATCAAGGCAAAAAAAATAAAAATAAATAAACAAATAAATTATATATATGTATATATATATATATATATATATATATATATATATATATATATATATATATATATATATATATATATATATATATATATATATATATATATATATTATACCACTTTTTGTTTGTATGAAAAAATTTTTTTATTCCTTTATTTTTCATTAGGAACAAGTTCTTATTTACAATGACAAGTGAAGTAACCACTTAGGAAAATGGAGGTAGGGCTCAAATAAATACCATACATTAATAATACATATATAAAATACAATTTAAAACACAACAGAAAACCCAAACACAACTATGTAGAGAGGCAGCTGCAAGTATCTGTGAACAAGGATGATATAATTGTTTTGAAGTATGAAATTGACATTAGTCTATCTAGTTCAAGAATATTTTGCAGAGCATATTATTTTGCAGAGTGGAAAGAAATAAGATCAAAAGTAGTGCTGATTTTGGGAATAAGTAACTGTAGATGAAGTGACAGGTGTTGTAAGTGACAGGCTTTGGCTGCAGCAGGTGACCTAAAGAAGGTAGTTACGGCCGAGAAGGGTCTTGTAAATAAAGATGAACTAGTTAATTTTGTGAAGGGAGGGCCAGTTGACAGATGAATACAGCACGCAGTGGTGTGAAAGAAAGTGGTGTGAATGAAAGGATCAAGCTGTTAGGTTTAAGGCTGAACACTTTACCTACATGTTAAGGACAAGGGAAGACAGGAAAAAGCTCCTGTTGAGAAAGGAGGAAAAGAAGCAGGCTAATCTTAACTCAGATTTCAGTTTTGGTAGTTGAAATAATTTTTTCCTTCTTAGGAATGGCTGTCTCAAAATCAGCAGGAATTCCAAGAATTTAAGCTGTTTGTTTCTGCTAAAACTCGATCAGAGAGCTGAAGCTGAACTAGAACGCTGCTGCCTCACTAAAACTAAGAAAGTGGAGCACATTACCCAACCTATAAGGTCCTACAATTGGCTTTTTATAGCTCAGGTTATAGACTTTGAAATACTTTATTAGTACCTTATAACTAAATGGCTTAGCTCCAAAACACATCCATTGTCAGTGAATCAACCACCCAGACGTCTTAGGACTTCTGCCATAAATCTACTTTGTATACCTAGAAGTAGAACCAACCATGGAAAAGCAGTGTTTAGATCTCACTAATCTGAAATAAACATAAAGAAAAGTGTCAAAACACTAAAAATCTAAGTTGCTTGAAGTTAAGATTAAAAATTTTCTTGTTTAGTGCGGCTTTTGACAGTGCTATCTAAATATAACTAGCTAGGTTTTCAGACCGATATTCTCTTTTTCTATCATTTTATCTTGTTTTCACCAATATTCTCTTTAATTATTTATGTTGCTTCTATGCCACTTCAATGTGCTTTTCTTTTTTTCTCATGTACAGCATTTTGAATTGTCTTGCTACTGAAATGCGCTATCCCTTCCCGCTATAATCGCAACCCCCATCCCTTTACAGGGGAACAGAAGACCTCGCTTATTCAGCCAGGCCAACAATTCCCTTTAACGACAGAGACAGAAGTTAAAGGTAAGACCTCCTCTGCTTTGACAGTCATAGCGTCCTTCACCCCTTTATCTTTCTTAAACCTCAAGGGTAATATTTCTGTTAGACATGAAAAACCCTGACACTGAGCAGTCAGTGGAGTTGGCCTTAGGTTCCTTTTTCCAAACACCTAAATAGCAACCTGACTTGTCTATGGAGACAAGTCAGCAAGGTCTAGTGATGATGGCCCAAAAAAACGTGCAGGGTTAGGAGTGCAGGACACCAAATGAGGAATCATTGCACCAGCAACTTAAAAACATGTGTACAGAAGATTGCAGCAATGCATAATATCTGCAGGGCAGATTATATCTCAATGTGATGAATAACAGCACAACTGACATGTGACCATTGCATGTAAACATGATAATTGAGTTATTGTGTTAATGAATCAACTTGGCCATATGATGGAGTCGAACTGTGCCACATCAAGGGACTTTAGAGGTTAGCAATCAGTCATTGTAGTATGAAATATCCTATATCTGGCAACATTGCACAAGATGAAGAGTTTGGTAAATTAGTTATTTGACCATAAAGTTTATATCAGTTGGTCATTCTGGGTCATATTAAATAGATTTGTTTAATTATTCTGATTCTCCTAAACCATGATAAGATATTAAGCAGCATTTTGCTTTTTTTATTAAATAACTCGCATTTAATCTAATCTAATCTAATCTAATCTAATCTAATCTAATCTAATCTAATCTAATCTAATTCAATTCAATTCAGTTTATTTATATAGCGCCAAATTCACAACACATGTCATCTCAAGGCACTTTACAGTTCAACCAGATCATACAGTCAAATTGATACAAAGTTTTCTATCTAAGGAAAACCAGTTGATTGCATTGACTCATTGACTCAAATACAATCCCCCACACTAATCTAATCTAATCTAATCTAATCTAATCTAATCTAATCTAATCTAATCTAATCTAATCTAATCTAATCTAATCTAATCTAATCTAATCTAATCTAATCTAGATTTAGTTCAATGTAAGACTAACCTGAACGTTTAGATCTAGTTTGCACTCCAGTATACCACAAACTGCTGTGATTTACAATGTCAGTACAACACTTTAAGGCTTCCAGATGTTAATCTCAAATAGTAAAATCTACCCTCAGTTTTAGTACGGAAGCGAAAAGGTTTGAGTGTAAAAATAATATAAATGTCGTTTGGATAGAGGAAAAACTTGCTGCTGCGAATTAGTGCTCATGATTGGTAAATACACCTGTCACTTCAGATTTCCTTGTGTGCCATTGGTTCGGGGTCCAGGTTATGGGCGGGGCATTTCATTACGCAGTCACCGGGGCGGGACTGTTGTGTCCAACAGGAAAACTACAGAAAGGCGAGTATCTCACCTAAAACCATCGAATTCTTCATAATTAACAGATCAGAAACGCTCTTCGCCCAGACTCGTTGTATATCGGGTCATTATCTGGTCTCAGATGCGTTTAAGTTTGCTTGTTTTCGCTTCAGGAAAAGGTCAACATCCCACGAACAACTATTCAAAGTTAACAGGCTAACACAGTTAGCTTCTTGTGATTGCCTGACACTTCCGTAAAGAGCATATTTCAGAAATATTAACAAAAGTTTTAGTCGGATTCAGGTTTGTTAAAACTTTTCACTTTAATGGAAGCTGTAAGTTCATCTTGTCCTTTTAAATAGAGACAATACAATAGAGAAGCATCGATTAAAAGAGCGATTGATTCGTTTTTGTTGCGCCAAACGGCTTAATTGGTCAATATTAAAAACTGGTTAATTATGTTTGCAAAAAATTATAACTACAGCTCGATTGTCAAACCTATTAGAGCTCATATATCCAGTAGGCCTAACAGAGAAACTGCCATTGACTTGAATTGGCTTTACATTCACAGAGTAATTTTCAGAATTATATAAATTTCCACCAGCTTAACTTATTTTTTAAGGAAAACGTGTTTGTAAATTGTCTTTAGACTTTGTTTTCGTGCAGTTGAAATTCCTTTTTCACATATTAGTAGCAGCCATGATTGCTGCATTTTACTTCAAATATATATTTCTAATGTCATAGATCTGATGATTTTGTGTTCCCCCTTTAGCCATAGAAAACCTGTGGCTCTTTTAAGTACTTTAAGTTTCTCCTGGTTTTCTAAAATTATGGATCTCTCAAATCCTCATTTTCTATGAATTCCCCCCCCCCCCCCCCCCCCCCCTTAGTTAGAGATTTCCAAAGGCTTGCATGGTAACAATATCAGAAAATGAATTAAATTATATCAAGATTGTGGCTGTAGGTCAATTCATTTAGTTTATTTATATGCTTCTAATTCATAACACATGTCATCTCAAGGCACTTTATAGTTCACCAGATCATACCGTCAAACTGTTTCAAATTTTTCTATCTAAGGAAAACCAGTTGATTGCATGGTCTCATTAACTTGAAGGCGATCCCTCACACTAAGCATGCCTGCAGCGACAGTTGAGAGGAAAAATTCCCTGTCAAACTTCAGGAACTAGTTGCTCTGTAAAAACAGGAACAACTATTGTATAAAAAGCTTAACTTCTGGAGTAATCTATGTAGATCAGTCTACACTGAAAACCAAAGGTCAGAGGCGTAATTGAAGGAATATCTTTACAACTGGAAATAGAGGATGTTCTGCCTTTAAACAGCAATACATTCAGGTTAAATTCCATTTTTGTTAAGTCAATATAGTTAAACCATAAGTTTAGGCAAAAATATTTTTTTCAGATCCTCGATTATGCAAAATAGGTTTTTGTTTGTTTTTACTCATCAGGTCAATTGAACTTGTTTTTTTTTTTAACCCTGACCCTTGAGCCTGGTTTATGCTCAGAAACTAGGTCGTCTGCGTGTGTGTTGCAGTTAAAGCAGATATGCCCACACCCACAAACCTAGCTAGTTTGTGATTGGCCCTCTTACGTTGTGGCGTGGAATAACAGAGCGCAGACCACGCTTCAAAATTGGACTTAAATCAAAAATATCTGCGACAAGCTAACTGCGACACACTGCTGCGGGAGTATACAGAGCCCTTTATGGTAGTTATGTTTCAGTCAAAGGAATGTGTCTTCTATGTACCTTTTTTAACTTTGGTGGGGATGATACTCTTGGTAGTAATAACCATCTTTAAATCCCTGTCTTACAGATGGCGGCAATCAGAAAGAAACTGGTGATAGTAGGTGATGGAGCTTGTGGGAAGACATGTCTCCTCATAGTGTTCAGCAAAGATCAGTTCCCTGAAGTCTACGTTCCCACTGTGTTTGAGAACTATGTTGCAGATATTGAGGTCGATGGTAAACAGGTGAGCTCCTTTTTTCCAGATGTGGTAGAATTTTTCTGTGTTATTTTTCAAAATACTTGATTAATCCCAAAAGGAAACTAGAAGTTGCTGTATCTTATATCCTTTTCTTCTAAGAGTTATTGTAGTGTTTGGCCTTAATTGGAGGCAAGTTCTATGTTGCACATCAAATAGAATAGACTTCAACTTCATTGTCATTACACTGTCACAAGTACAAAGCAACAAAATGGGCTCTCTGTATCTAACCCATCCCCCTGGGGAGCAGTGGGCTAACAATGTGCGGCACCCGGGGAGCAGTGTGGGGTTAAAGGAATAGTACACCCAAAACATGATTAGCCTTCATTTTCTACTCACCCCCATGCTGAACAACACTCTGGAGTACTTTTTTGATATCTCAAATGCATCTGGAGATCTGGGAGGCTTCTTGCTGTCTGCTGACATTCAAATAATGGAGGTCTATGGCGCCCGAGGTAGAAAGGTCCATAAAAGTCCACAAAAAACGTGTCAATATTCCTCCATACTGCTCGTCCAATGTATTCCAAGTGTCCTGAGTGGGTAGCATCCAGAATTTACTCGAAACGAAGTCATTTAGAATGTTTTTAGAGCATAAACAGTAGTGTATAGGATTTCCTGAAAGCGCGCACATGCGCGTTCGCGACGCTACGGACGCCGGCAGACCAAACCAGCGCATTCAGTTCGGCAAAGAACTCATGCTCTTCCTCAACACTGAAGTCCTGAGACATTTTTCTTTCGTTGTTTCTTTCTTTGCACAGGTAAACAGCACATTTCTTCTTCTACGCTTGCATTATTGGCAGAGCAGACGCTGAATGCGCACTTTCATCTGGTTTGGTCTGCCGCCTTCCGTAGCGTCGTGAACGCGCATGTGCGCGCTTTCAGGAAATCCTATACACTACTGTTTATGCTCTAAAAACATTCTAAATGACTTCGTTTCGAGTAAATTCTGGATGCTACCCACTCAGGACACTTGGAATACATTGGACGAGCAGTATGGAGGAATATTGACACGTTTTTTGTGGAGTTTTATAGACCTTTCTGTCTCGGGCACCATAGACCTCCATTATTTGAATGTCAGCAGACAGCAAGAAGCCTCCCAGATCTCCAGATGCATTTGAGATATCAAAAAAGTACTCCAGAGTGTTGTTCAGCATGGGGGTGAGTAGAAAATGAAGGCTAATCATGTTTTGGGTGTACTATTCCTTTAAGGGGACCCACAGTGGCAGTCTGTGGGAGTGGGGCTCGAACTCAGAACCTCTAGTACCCAGGTGCAATGCCCTAACCACCAGCATATCCTGTCCAGAGATATTTATACTTTACCATCTTCTCCTCCGGTGATGGAAATCATGTTTTTTTTCCCCATTTTCTCATGTTTCTAGAAATCTGCAATCTGCACTGACTGCTGGCTCATCTGAGTATTTCTGCAGATGACAGGAATCTAAATTGTACTTGAAGTCTCAGGTCATGCTGTAGATGTACTTTGCATTTGCATCCCATTCTGTAGCCTAAAAACAAAGCTGTGACTATCTCCTCACACTTCTCTTCATTATTGGTTATCTCTGAGCAAGGCATTTATATGCCAAGCAGAAAAGAACAAGGGTTTGATCTGATTTGCTAAGAGGAGGTCTTGCATAGTGTCATTTGCATAAAACAAATCCAGCATTTGTTTCCTCTGGTAGAACGGCTGAAAATCTCTGAAAACATTTGAAGTGTAACAGAGAGTGGGGCAAGGTTAAAATCTCCACACATTGCCAAAACACAATAGGGTGTCATATTTGGGGCTTAACAAGAACTAAGGTGATGACATCACAGGCAGTGTTGGCAACAGCAGATGGTGGAATATAAGCAGCTGTCAAAATATCCTATCCACCCTCCTGTTTTACTAAAAATTCACCCAGCCTCATATCTTCTAAATACGACGGAGTATCAGGGCCAGGATAGAGATTTCTTTTTCTTTTATTTCTAGAAAAAGGTCGTAATATAATGAAAATAAAGTAATAGAATTTAAAGAGTAAAGTTGCAACGAGAATAAAGTGATAAAATTACGAGAATAAAGTTGTATTTTATGACAACTCTTTTATGAAACATTTTCTTCCCTAAAATGAGGAATGTCGAGCATCTTGTGAAGTTATACTTTGGCATCAGTTTGACAAATAAGGAAATATTTAGTCTTTTAGCACCAGCATCAAATTGGGCAGTATGTGAAAGTGGACTCAGGTTGCTGTTTGGTGGAGCTGGTCGGCTGTCATCTGCTGTTTGGTAGGGGTGTATATAATAATTGTTTTCTATCGATGCATCGATTCCAACAGCCGACGATCTGATGCATCGACACGTCTGCAAGAGCATCGATTTATATTTATATTTATTCATTTGCTCCTGGATGTAAATCAGACTCCTGTGCTGCGTGGCGCTAAACCTATTCTGCCCTCCTACCTCGCTTCCTTTAGCCACAACCCTCTTTCCGCTTGCACACACACTCGCGTAAACATAGAAACATTGTTACTTCTCAGGGAATGAGTTTTTCATAGGCCTAGGTGGAGGATCGCTCTGCTACTTTTGTTATTTGTTTTTGTTTCTCAATTAAAAGACATAACTATATTACAGCTTTCATTGATTTATTTCAAATTTGAAACATTGTCTAGCCTGTAAGGTAAACAAAAAAACAATCGGATCTAATCGTATCGTAGTGTATTCATGAATAATCGAAAATAATCGAATCGTTGGGTCAGGAAATTGATACTGAATGGAATTGCCATGATGGGTGTGAATTACACCCCTACTGGTCGGAGCTCGAAGCTTTCTTTCTGAAACGGTTTGTGGTATGATGACTTCATTCTCGTTATTTTTCAACTTTATTTACTTCTAATTTTATGACAATTTCCCACATTTGACTTGGACAGATTATGAAAAGGTGAAAACCGACCGGCACGATCCAGAAAGCAAAGCCAAACTTAACGAGTGCAGCATCTCAAACCAGATCAGATCCAGGATGTTCATATGACTATATTAAAATTAAATGAGATCTTGGTCTAAAGAAAAGAAAAACGCAGCAATAAATACAGTGGAATGGTTTCTATGCTGACTGAGGCAGAAAGGGAAATTTATCCAAGTTTTTCTTTCTTTTTATTCATAAAAAGGGGAGCAATATGCTGCACTTACCTGGTCTGTCTGCCCCTCGTTATTTTTGTTTTTGTTTGGCTCAAAGAGGATCACTACTTTACTAAATCAGATTTTTCTCCTGAAGTTATTTTTTTTAAGGAGATTGATAAACTGCGCTCTTTGTCCCTTTTTGTTTTTGCGACAAAGGTCACTATTCTGGGTCTTGCTATGAAGAAGCGGCAAGAAAAACAACAACCATGGTGGACAATGATGCGGAGAGCAATATTTATGTTTACCAGACTTAAAAAGATTGTTTTTTTTGGTTGGGAAAGATCGGTAGATGCGCTCCGTCACTACCATCCATGTTTACTTCTGTAAACACAGAGCACGCTGACCTGTGACGTCATTGCGTCCTTTACTGCGGATGCGGGACACTTGCTTTGTTTGTCTGCTGTTCACACAGGAGATCACATACCAGTCACATATATTTGGAAATGTGAACGGCAACGCAAAAAAATCGGATTTCACAAAAAAATCGGAATTGAGCATCAAGGCCTGCAGTGTGAACATAGCCAAAGTGTTCAAAAGACTCTTAAGTAGTTTAACTTTAATGTCGAGAACTACTCTTTGTATTTTGTTTTTTGTTTAGCGTTAATTTTGTCCCATAGAGCACACTGTAGTTAGGGCAGTGATGACGTCATTGTCGTAACCAGTGTTGTTGATATCTGCTGGAGAAGTTCGGTAGCTGAAACGGAAACCAAACACCATTACCCAGATAAACCGTAACACACATGTACAATTGAATCAGGATCTGTAATACAGTTTGGAATACAGAACAGTTAAAGGGGTCCTGGCTTGTCTCTTCATTATTTTATCTGCCGAACCTTATCCTAACGTCGGGTCCTGAGTTTAATCCTGGCCTAAGTGGTGTTCTGGCCAACACTCTAGAACTCCAGAACACCGTTTAAGCACAGTTGGTGTTTATTGCTGCAGTGATAAACACCAACTGTGCCTTCCAATCTTTCAACCCTAGAGCAAAATCACCTACACAAAGTTTTCTATCTAAGAAAAACCAGACGTCTGCTGCGACTCATTGAAGCAAAGGCAATCCCTCACACTAAGCATGCTTGTAGCGACAGTGGAGAGGAAAAACTCCCGGAAGAAACTTCTAGAACCAGGCTCAGTGTGAGCGGCCGACTTGGGTTCAAGGAGACAGAAGCAGAGGATGAAGCGATTAGAACAAATCCATGGCATATTGGATGGCTTATGTTTCCTCCTTTTATTGGCCAGCTACACTGGTTGATGCTTCCATGAAAAGTTTGCTCACATTCACCTCTGTTTATCAGTATATATATATCCGTAGGCAGCAGTGACTTTGGATGGGTTGTCGGTTCAACCTCAGACTTTCAGTATCATTGTGTACTTGAGCAAGACACTTCACCCGCATTGCCTACTGATGGTGGTCAGCGGGCCTGGTGGCGATAGTGTACGACAGCCTTGCTTCTGTCAGTGAGCTCCTGGGCAGCTGTGGCTACAGTGTAGCTTGCCACCAATAGTGTGTGAATGACTGAATGTAGTGTAAAGCGCTTGGATCAAGTCCTCTGACTTGAAAAAGTGTTATATAAGTACAGGCCATTTTCCATATATTGGACTTTTCTCTTTACCGTTTGGCTTTGTTCGTACACCCTTAAACCCAACTATACTCAGCCATGTTGGTTCTTTTACGTGGAATGGAGCTGTGACGGGTCTGTATGCTACCAAAAAACACTGTTTTACTGCTGCATAATGGAGAAGTCATGAGAGAACTATCAGAACTCTGTATGTGAGATTTCCCCTTAAATCTGACTGAGAAAAGTCCTTATTCCCACCATCATTGAATACATGCTGTGCAGAAATGTAGTCATGCTTTATCCTCTACATGTTGTTATTCTGTTTAGATTAAAGTAAACAACACATTTCTCACACCAGACAAACAACTGGAGATCATCCTGAGGATATCATGATCTCTGCGTTCTCTGCTGTTACTGTTTTTGCATTGTTTGCTTCTAATTCATCCTGCAGTTCCAGTGAACTCTACATCGCCCCCTAAGGTCGTTTGAATTTAGACTGACTTTCCTTGTTAGGATCTTTCAGTTTATTGAAAGGCACGCATAAAACATGTAAATTAAAGAAAGTATGTTGTAAGAGGGGCTAGATGAGAGATATTCTATCTGATTTAAAAAATCTTTTTGCAGTTGAACCGGACACTTTTAACATCCCGTTAGGCTTTGTAAAAACAGTCCCTTATTTGATATTTTGTTTCAGGTGGAGCTGGCTCTGTGGGACACTGCGGGTCAGGAGGACTACGACCGCCTCAGACCTCTCTCATATCCGGACACCGATGTTAT